GAAGAGCGTTTGTCGCCGAGGCAGGGCTTCGCTGCCAAGCGGCTTCACCCACACTGCTTTTGTTCACTCCAAGCCCCGCGCGGCCATTTCTGCGGACGCGGTGCGGGGCAAGTCTCCTTATTCCTGGGGCAGATTTCAGAAGCGCGCTGGCCTGGACTTGGCGGCCGCCCCCTTGGAGAAGAACCTGGGCCTTGGAGGTCAGGGGTGTGAAAGGCGCGGGCGGCCGACGGAGGCTTTGCGGGCGCGGGGCGGGGGCGTGGCCAAGTGCGCACGGAGCCGGTTGACTATGAAGTGTTTCCCTTTTAAAATTATTTCCTATCTTTTTTTCCCATGACCCCTGGCCCATCCCGTCCCGAGCGAGGCCCTCTGAGCCGGGCTGAATCAGAGGCGCGCCCGCGCGGCAGCGCCCAGTCTGGACCTTCCGCCCTCGCTGGTGAGGAAGGTTGGCACCTACGGATGCCTCTGTCCACCTACTGGAGAAAGGCCCAGCGCCTGCCCGCCATCCGCTCCCCCGCGCAGCCGTGCGCCCAGGGCTGGCGGGCGCCGCGCTCCGTGCGCGGTTCCCACCCCTGGACGACACCGACTCCCCAGGCACGGCCTACGACAGTGCCCCAAGCCGGACCCCGCTCCGAGGGCTGCCCCTTCCAGACCAAGTGGGCTCCTCAACCAGCTTACCAGGATCAGGGGATAAGGTGACCTCTGCTCTGTTAAGGGCAACCCCGGGGACACAGGACCTTGGCTTCCAAAATTCAGATCTAAAGTGATTCCGAGCCATTTATGCGCTCCAGAGACGCCCGTCCGGGTTATTTTCCTCTCTGGACCCTAGAGCCCCCCCCGCAGCCCGCACTCCTTTCCTTCGCCTCCCCTGGGGGAGTTCGGACCCCTCGCCCTGGTGGGGAGTCCAGCACCTCGAGCCCTCGGTCCAGCTCCCGTGTCCCCAGAGTCCAGCCGCCTTCCTGAGAGCGACAACGGTAGAGATCGGGTGGCGGGCAGAGCCGAAAGAGGAGCGGCGTGCATGTGCCAGGCTCGCTTGACGAGCGGCCAGCGCCTGGCCCATGGCTCCGCATTCAGAGGGCTGGCTCCGGACCGGATTCCGGCTGCGGGCTGGACTGACAGACCACGTTTTTGGGGCACTGGAGGGTCACCTTGCGGCCTGGGCCCAGCCCCTCCTAGTGAGAGGTCAAAGACAGCAGAGCCACCGAGAACTCTCTGTGAAGAGCTGACTGTCCTCTGAGAGGGAGAGGGGGCGAGGAGGGCCCTCTGGGTAATTTTCTGGGGGCTCCAAGACACCAAATTGAGGACACTCCAGGTCACACAGCCAGTTCTTGGAGCACCCTCTCCAGCCCCATCTTCCTCTAAGGAGCTGTAGGAGGAGGCTGGGCTGCAGGTTTGCAGAACTAACGAGGACCTCCCAGACTCCAGCAGCCTCCGGACTCACCCCTCGCCTTCTGCAAACTTCCTGCACTGGTGGACGAGGAGCCCGCAGTTCCTTCTTCACGGACGTAGCGAATCCCACTGGGTGCAGGAACCTATAACTCAACTTTTATAAGAAAAAGCAGGCGTAGCCGGGACCCAGCCCAGAAGCTGATTGCAGAAGGTGCCCTGCCCGGCCAGGATCCGAAGGATGACTAACAAATATGGTGGAGCAGAGGAATGGATGAGTGAACGAATGAGTGAATGAATGAGTGAGTCCGGGAACGCAGGGCTGCCCTGGAGGCTTTTCACTGCGTTTTGGCTTTTTCTTGGAGTTGTTAAACTCCCACTTCATGGAATCTCCAGACTTCCCTCTTCAAGGAGAGCGTGTTCTTGGGTTCTTTGTTGATTTGTTCAGCAACTCCCCCCTCCCCCCCACTCCATCCGACAACAGCCAAACTGAGTTCCAAACCGCCACTGGGGAGGGGACAAGAGTTTAGCCCAGAAACTAGAGAAAGCGTGTCTCTGGATTGAGGTTCCATCTTCCCTTTTCCCTGGAGCCTCCTTGGGTCAGCTGACTGGTGTTCCTCCCGGGGACCCCTCCTCCTCCCCTCCTCCCCCGGCTCTGAGTCCTTTGAGCCGCTGACCTGTGGGAGGGAGGCATTCTGCCCCTTTGGGAGAGGACTCGCACGCAGTCCCTGAAAGGGTGGCCGCCCCGGCCCCTCCCGGGGGCCCTTCGCTAGTGCACGTGTGTTTGCAAAGCCCTCTGACTTCTGTCCAAAAGGGCTAATCACATTTGCTTGCAGTGAACAGCAGCCCTGCTGTCCCGTAGGCTGCCACAGTGGGAGAGGAGGTCTTCGGCTTGGTTCCCTCGATTGGCTTCATTTTTGTGTGAAGTTGTGTTTCACGAGCTGCATTCTGGCAACCGGAGGACTGCCACAGCGTCCAGTCTGCAAATGACATTATTTTTTGACCCCGAGAAAAGAGCAAGGGGAAGCATGGAGTCTTGGGTTTCACGGAAGAGCCGAATCCAGCGGCTTCAGAAAATGATGCTTTGGGACAGGAAGTCAATCGGCGGCCCCGTCCCTCCCTCCAGTCTTGCCTGCCTTCCTTCCTCCTTCTGCCTCTCATTTCCTTCCTTTCTCTCCTCTCCATCCCTGGTCTTGCTTCTCTCTTCCTTCTCTCCTTCCTTCCTTCCCTCCCTCCCTCTCTCCCTCCCTCCCTCCTTCCCTCCTTCCTTCCTTCCTTCCCTCCTTCCCTCCTCCCTCCCCCCTTTCTCTCTCTCAACCTCCTTCCTTTCCTTCTCTTCCCTTTTTAATTTATTTTTTTATTTTTATTTTTTGAAAATATTTTTTGAACTTCTTCCTTGTGTCAGATGCAAGGAATTCATCAATAAATAAGGCAGAGATGCTTTAAGCTTCTTAGATTCAGGTAGGAAGGATACAAATCTGGTAATATGAAAATAAGAAAAAAATGAAAAATATGTATATACAGTAATAAGTAACATAAATTTGAGTCATAATGTGTTATAAAAATCAATATAACATGAACTGTTTGCTGTGATGGGACACCAAGAAGAAATTTTAGATAGGGAATTCAGAAATACCTATTTTAATAGGTAACAGATTAATCCATTA